GTGTGTGTGTGTGTGTGTCCATGTCAGCATGGTGGGGCATGCGTGTGGAGGTCAGAGGAGAACCTGGGTTTTCATCTTCCATGTTGTTTGGACAGGGTATCTTTTGTTGGGTACACCAGGCTAGGGGACCTGAAGACTTCTTCAAATCAGGAGTCCAGAGATTATAGATGTGCTTCTGCATCTAGTTTTCACATGGGGTCTGGGGATTTGAACTCAGGTCCTCATGTGTGCATGGCAAGCACTTTACTCACCGAACCATCCCTCCTGCCCAAGGGTCCTTCAAAGGTCGGCACACTACCGCAAAAGGCCGAAACTCCCAAGGAACAGCTCATTGAGTGTTCAGTGAGTCTTCCCCATCCTGCATTCCACGGGGTGACCCTGCTCTAGCTTCTAGCACTGTTACTGGCTGAAGGCTGTGTTAAATGGGAATCAAGGTAGTTCCTTGAGCTTTGCTACTTTTGCATGGTTCTGTTTGTATGTTTGATTGAGATGATCAATTTCTAAATGGGCTCTGGTTTCTCTATGGTAGTCAGTTGTGTGAACAGACCCCAGATCTGGTGCAAATGCGTCCCAGGCCTAATTCCAGCCTTGGTTATGCTAAACAAGGCTGCTATGAACAGCTAGCATATCTCTGGTTCCCATGGAGTATGTGTACCGACGTGCGCCAATAGGAAGTGCTGGACCACGGAGTTGCTGCGCATGAAGTTTTCTGGTAGTTGACAGTATTCAGGGCTGTCTGTGAGAGTTCTGCTTGCTCCGTACAGCCCACTGGCAATTGTCACTGTCATTGGTGGTCATCCTGTTAGATGTGCAGTGGCATTTCATTTGTATATACTGTATATTTGTGCCCTAGCATCATATATCCTTAGGACAGTGAGAAATTGTTTTAGGTTTATTAGTCACTTAACTACCCTGTCTTGTGAAATGCCTACATGCCAGCTAGACTTTTGACTGTTTCCAGTTTGGTGATCTTGTTCTTGATGTATACATGGAGTTAGATCATTTGGGGACTGTCAGCATGTCACTCATTTCCACCTTCATTGAGTAGAGATTTTCATTTCAGTATTTCACATTGTTATGGGCCTTTTTGTGTTCCGGTTTTGTTTTTTCTTTACCAAGGTCATGGAGAGTGTTCGGTAAGTTTGTTCTTGAAGCATCCACCACCTGCATCCCTCTGGACTTGAACTTTGCTTGTGATGAGGCTGAGGGTCAGTGCATTTTCCACGTGGATATTGGAACGGCCTACCTGATCTGCTGGGAAGATCATTTTGTCTTCTGGGGTGCTGCATCACCATTGCCGTGACAGAACAAATCTGATTCGGATGTGTGTCTGCTTCTGGGTGGAGCAGTGTGACTGCACCGTTGGCAGGAAATTCCAGAGTTTATGAGGCCTTGGAAGACCTGGTGCCCTGTGGGTGATGCTGTCTGAGCCCAGCTTGGGGCTGGCTGGGGCGTATTCCTTTTTCTGTGCTGACTGGACTGTGGGTTTGGTCCCATTGTGGGCTGTTAGGCCAGGTTATCAGGAAGCTGAAGCTGTGCCGTGGGTTACTTCCTGGGAAGCCTCTGGCCTCACAGAGCATCATCCATGGAGTCTCCTGAGTTGCAGGTAGAACGCAGTCTGCCTCCCTCCAGCAGGGGCTGAGCCCCAAGGAAGTGGCAGCTTTGCTCTCCTGCTGTGTCTGGGTCTGGGAGGTGGCTCTCCATAGCCCTGAAGAGGGTCTAGAGGCGCAGAGTCCCCTGGGATGTGGCTCAGATCAGCAGGAGTTGGGCCCAACCTTCCACTGTGACACTTTCAGTCAAGTGACTTCACATGGATTCTCAAGTTCAGGAACGGGGACCCAGGGAGGGGCTGGAGAATCCTCCTGAGACCTGGTTCTGGGCGTCTAGTGAGGAACAGTGGGGTGGGGTTCTGCCACATGGGGTCACTAGCCTTCTGTGGAGACACAGTGTGCCTGAGAGGGTCAGGTCAGAGAGGGTGGTGGGGTGTGGGCTCCAGTGAGAGCTCTGCCATGAGTTCCGAGTGACCTTGAGGGAACTCTGCCTGAAGATCCCCCCATCTCTCCCCGTGCTATGGCATGTGTTATGTCTCACCGAACGTTCTGCCGAAATCCTGAACCACCACCTTATTTGGAACTGGGGCCTTCCTAAGATTGCAGGTTGAGATGGGATGATTCAGTGAGTCCTAATTGGATATGACATGTGAGACTGAGACAGAGAAGTGAGCTATGTGACAATAGAGGCAGGGCTTGTGGCCCTCTGCCAGGGACACCATGGCTTAGGAAGTGAGGCAAGGACTATCTCCATTGGAGTTCAGAGGAGTACAGTCACATCAGTGCCATGAAAGCTCTGCAACAGGAAGCCCTGTGGGCAGGGCTGGTCAGGACCCCTGCCTGCTGTGCCCTGCCCTCCCCGCACTTTCCTGTCTGGTTCCTTGCTGAGCATCGAGTCCCACTGTAGGGGCTGAGGGTGACTCCCATCCAACCAACCCCGGTAGAATCAGTTGTTAGTATTCAGGCATTGGGACTGACCTGCCCTTGGGGGTTCTGACGGGTTAAGTCCTCAGCTGCAGTCACTAAGAGTACCACCTGTGCACATTCACCATGTTCCCTTTTAAGAGGGTCCCTGTCTTCTGTCTCCTTCTCTGATTCTCTCCCCTCCCTCCCTCCCTCCCTCCCCCACCTCCCTCCCTCCCCTTTCTCTTTCTCCTTCCACCACTCTTGTCCTCGGGAACTGCTCTTGTCCCCACCCTGCCCCCTTCTCTGTCCTCTTCCCACAAGCCCCTCATGTGAGTCCTGTTGTATGGTGTGACTCCCTCCCGTTGTTTCTCTCTTAAATTATAGCATCAGCTGCTCTGGCCTTCTCTTTTTTCTCCCTCAGCTAATCTATGGCCCAGGGTGACTCAAGTGTGGCCCAAAGACCTATCCCTTATGTTCATGTCCAGTCAAGCGGCAGATTGTTCTAGCTTTGCCTCATTTGCTCCCAACACTACTACCCTGGTTTAATTTTTCTGGTTAATCACAGCAATGGCTGGTTCTTACACCTGCTAACCTAGCCAGGCCTTTTGCAATGTTCCTTTATGATTCTTTCCTTCTATGGATCCAGGCTAGTCTCAACCTTTGAATCTAAGATAACCTTGGCACTTGCTTTGGCCACTAGAGACCAGCATGAGCTAGAACACAGTGTAATTATATCCTAGTCCTGGACCATGTCCTCAAGGCCTTGCCACTTCTTAGAACACAGACACTCCATTAACATAAGCCCAGGCTATCTGTGAAGGCAGAGAACAGACATCCTGGACAGGACTGCCCCAAACTAGCCAGCCCTAGCTGACCTACTACTTGAGCCCAGACACAGGCACACAGCCTAGGTCTGCCAAGTCCACTCATACCACTGCTTGAGGTTTGTTGAAAGTGCTCTAAACTGTGTTTAAGGGCTGTTTCTTACACAGCCATAGCTCACTGATATACCTTAGCTAACCTGCATATATTCCTTTCCTTCTATGAACATTTTCTGTAAGGGGCCCTGGGGGTTGACTCCTCTGCATCTTCCCCTCATGGGAACTCAAGACAAGGCTGCGGGTCTGACTTCTGGCCTGACTCTCCCCTCTTGTCTTCAGACATGAGAATGTGGTCCTTGTCACTGCAGATGCTGGGCTGTGTCTATAGTTCCCTGGGATCATAGCACTTCTGCAATGGGCATTTTACGTCTTCCCTCCCCGCAGAGTTCAAGTTACACAGAGGCAGGAGCATGCCTGCTCCCTCCCATTCACACCATGTCCTCGACCTTCTAACAGGTCAGCACACAGCAGGGACACTCTGGAGAGTAGCAAAGGAAGGTTGATATTTCTTTCCACTGCTCTTGCTGTCAGGGTTTCCTCCGTCCAGACTTAACCACAGGCTCCTTACTGCTGTTTTCTCCTGGCCTCTGAGTCTTCCTATGCTCTATTCTTTCTGCCTGCCCTTCCGCTGCTCTCATACAGATCTGGGCATTGTTTCTCAATAAAAGTAGCTTCCAACCTGGTGGTGGTGGTGCATGCCTTTAATCCCAGCACTTGGGAGGCATAGGTACTTGGATCCTTGTGAGTTGAGGACAGCCTGGTCTACAGACCGAGTTCCAGGACAGCTACGAGTGTTGCACAAAGAAGCTGTGTCTTGAAAAACCAAACCAACAACAAAAAACCAACCAAACCAAAACACCCAAAAGTAGCTTCCTCCTCCAGGAAGCCTTTCCTCCTGTCCAGCACACTATCTCCTCTCCAGGGATCTGACCCCACTTTGTGTACAGGCTGCCCGCCTCCTCACCCCTCTGTCTCTGGGACCAGTCCTGTGGGTGGGATAATGGAGTAGTAGGATCCCAAGCACCTCTTGGGATTGCCTACCTTGTACACTTCCCTGAGAGTGAGGGCTGCACTAGCTTCTCCCCCCCCCTGGAAACTTGGTGTTGCACACAGTTCCCAGAGCAGGTGGGACAGAACTTCTGAACAAGCAGATCAGGTTCTGTGGGTGGGACCTGGGGTCTCAGTGGGCCACATAGGAATCCAGCAAGCCATGCAATACACCTGGTGGGAAACGGATGAATAATAAATAAATTGGTGTTACCGTGAAGTCAGTCCTTACGAGAGGACTTTGGCCACCTACCTCAGGTGTACACACGAGGGCCAGTTCTCCACACAGTCATGTCCTTCATGGGGCAGTGGCATGTGTCTCCAGATAGCTGTTCAACCTTTTCTCCTCCCTGAAGTTCTCTAGGGACTTGAAGCCCCATTTTCTTGTTCAAGAAGCATTTTTAGTAAGATGTTTAGAAGAACTTTGTATACCCCCCCATTTTGGTGTTTTAGACAGGGCCTCAAACAGCCCCAAGCTGGCCTTGAATTTGAACTCTTGATCCCCTTGCCTCCACAGGCAATGCCACAGCACCCAGCAAATTTCCTGAAAGAGGGCTCTCTTCCCAGTTACTCCTGGGTTGATACACAGTAGAGCCTAGGACAAAGCTGACACCAGTTAGTGGTGATGCGTCTGACTTGTTTGCCTGGTGCAGTTTAGAGAAGCTAGTCTACAGGGTGTTCAGCCCACACAGGACGAGCCTCCGGTGAATGACTAGAGTGCAGTGCTGTGGCGGTGGCTGAATATCTTCTTGGAGTCTATCTCGGATTCCACCATGTGTGGGTGGATGTCCACATCCATCCCTGCATCCTTGCACAGCTTGATCAAGGTCTTAATGTTGTTCTTGGACAAACGCAGGTACCTTCAAGAGAAGTTAGGGAGAGGTGACAAGGAGCCATGGGCGCTGACTTTCACTAAAAAGGGCTTGGGTTTGGGCTTGGTGTAGTGGCATACACCTTTAATCCCAGATCTCTGTGAGTTTGAGGCCAATCTAGTCTATATAGTGAGTTCTGGGACAGCCAGAGCTACACAGTGAAACTCTGTCTCAAAAAATGGTGGGAAGATGGGTAGACTTTGGGCAGTAGGAGGCCAGCAAGAGACTTGGCCTGCCTCCCTGTGTGCGCTCCTGATACAAGGACACCCCGAAGGTGGCAGAGGTGGAACTCTGTAACTCTTGGAAATCAACCTGCCAGGCACAACCCTGGGAATCTCCAGAGAAAACAGGCTGACTTTCATTGACTCAAGCACTACACTCAGCATGAAGTCCACGGGAGTCAAGAGAAGCTATGCCATGGAAAGACAGGTGCTCCCTGGGGAATGAGGTAGCCCATCAACCCCATCACCAGAGTGACAGTCAGTGCAGAATGGGCCATCCCATTTGGAAGACTTGATTCAAATGGCAGCAGGAAAAGAGGACATGACTAATGTGGGGGGTGGGTATGTATTATTTGGGTGAACTGTGGTATGCTGAGCACTGCTGCAGGCAGTGGATCTGAGTCAAGACTGGGGGCCTCCCAGTGAATACACAAACCTGCAGGCATAGGCATGCGCGCCTTCCTTTAATATACACACAGTTAAACAGCATGGCCATTGATTTGAAATGTTTCTAAAGCCTTGTAATCCCGATTTCTACTGAGGTGTGAAATCGATCCTGTCTGTGCTGTGGGATCCAGACAGTGTGCCTGGTTCCATTGTCAACCTTGACCTTGGGGTCAATTTTACATTTAATCACTTTATCTATGTCAAGACAGTGTCCCATTGTGTAGCTCAGGCAGCTTCAAACACACAATCCTCCTGTCTCAACTCCTGAGTGCTGGGATGAAGTTATGTGCTACTTTGCTGACTTCACGGTCCCAGCTTTGGTAGGGGGTGGACGCCACCAGCCACCTGCTGGCTGGTTATGGGAGACAGGGAGGAGACGTGTTACCGTCATCAGGCTTCCTGCCTTGCCTGGGCCTGGGTTATACCCCTGGACTGCCTTTGCTTATGTCCCGAGTTGCCCTGACCTCATGGCAGCCTTCCAGGGAGGTGTGGGCGGCCTGGCACCTTCACACGTGGCTTCCTTAAGACCCTTTGTCTATGCCACCCTTGTCTTAGGTGTCTCCCCAATGACTTTACAGATGTCACCTGCCCCAGTGCTCCTGTTCTCTGTGGGAAAGAAGCCCCCTCCCCCGACCCCCGTGCAGCCAGGGCCAATTAGAGCCGCGTCACTGCTTGTCCCTGCAAGGACAGCAGTTGGGCAGGTGCTGTCTCCCAATGCCTCCATCCCTGCTTCATCTCTTATTCTTCAGGAGCAATGGGCAGTGTGGCTGGTCTTTCGCTCAAGATGGCTATATTGCTGCCCACTTGTTGAGGGTGACCCTGCTATCCTGTTGTCTTGATTCCTCCTCAACTGAAAGTTTTTTTCTTTTTAACTTTGCCTGTTAGGTCAGTTAAGGAAGACACCGGCCTCGGGTGTTTTCTGAGGGAGACCTGGCGATACGGAATGGGTGGAGAGTAAGCAAGGGACAGGTGGGACTGTGGCCTTGGTGCTGGGGCATTGCCTAGCTCGTGCAAGGCCTGGGGTTCCCCTCCAGCAGTGGAAAAGGAAGAGGGGAGGACAGAAACCAAACGGTTCATGCTCGTCTTGGGAACCCGAACCCCAAACATAGCAGAAGGCCATTGGGGACAGTGACGCTATGGGAAATGCTCCCCGTAGGCGTTGGTGATTGAATCCTTGGTCCTCCAGTGGGTGGCACTGTCTGGGGAGGTTTAGGAGGAAAGTGTGTCACTAGGCTCTGGGAGCTTAAAGCCTCACTCTGCTTCTGGTTTGCACCCTGCTTCTTGCTTGTGCGTGAAGAGCTCCCAGATTCTTGCTCCTGCCTCCAGGACTGCTGCCACTGGGCTTGCCATGACGGACTCTTATCCCTCTGGAGCCACAAACCCAAATGACCTTCTCATGTACGTTACCTTGGTGGTGGTGTTTACCAGAGCAACAGAAGAGCGACCAATACAGACACGTCACTCAAATTCGCCAGAGCAAAGGGACTCAGGACATTTTCTTTATGAGAAAAAGGCCACGGACAACCTCTGTTTTCTTTTTGATGAATATCTATGGCTTCTGTTGTGTAGCAAATGGAAAATTTGAATTTCCAGAGACAGAGCTCAAAATGGTGGCCCCTACCTGGCTGTCCACAAGGGGAATTTTTTTTTTTTTGAGACAAGGATTCTGTGTGTAGCTTTGGAGCCTGTCCTGGAACTAGCTTTGAAGACCAGTTAGCCTCGAACTCATAGAGATCCACCTGCCTCTGAGTGCTGGAATTAAAGGCTCATGCCACCACTGCCCGGCCCACCAGGGGAATTTTAATAGGAGTAAATATATTACTTGTAGTCTTTGGCAGTAAAGACTGCTGGGAAACCCAGGGTTTTAGCCTTGTAGCAATCCTTTGCCAGCTAGAGCCAGGTAGCCAAGCATGCATTCACACACTGCTGACTTAGTCCTGCCCCCTCCATGTCCAAGAGTGGGCCTGTGGCCTGATGTCCTAGGCTTGGCCCTCCACGTCCAGGCACGCATGCATTCGCACACCGCTGTGCTAGGCCTGCCCATGCACACCAGTGGTGCTCACCGGCAACTCAGCACCTCCTCTGGCTTCAGCATCTTGGCTGTCTCTATCTTGGGCTCTGTGCCCTTCTCCATGAGGCTCTTCAGCTTGCGTTCGTCAGGAACCTTGCTTGTCCAGTCTCTCAGCAGACCCACCCTCCGTGAGCCAAACATAGTCTCCTGAAGTACCGGATCTATGGAGCTTTGTCGGCGGTATGGGCTTACTCGAGTGTTGGTTTCTAGGGCTATGACGTCCTTGATGTCTAAGTCTGAAATCGGAAGATGCCCCCAGGGAGTTAGATTCTGGGAAGAGTTGATCATGGTGGGGTAGTGGGAAAGAGGGAGCTGGAGGGATGGACGGGCTCCTCACAGCTGATCTGAGGTTTTGGCAAGAGACCCCGCAGGGATACTCCTTAACCTCCGCTCTCCCAGCCTTCTCAACTGCCTTCCTGCCTGGCCTCCTTCCCCCTTGCCCCTTCCTCTCAGTCTTTTCCCTTCTCCCTTTCCAGAGGAAGTTTATCAAACGGGAATTACTCCAGAAGGAGGAGAAATCCCAACCGGTGAGTGTTGAGTAGGGTTTCCAAGGACAGTAGTTTATGATGTGGAGACATACGCCAGATGGCGTGTCAGTCAGAGGCCCAGTGCTGAAGGACCTCCCATCTTGGTCTGGACTTTAATAAAAATAACATTTGCATCCTATTGCTTTGAATGAGATTTTTGTTTTTGTTTTATGTTTTTTGAAACAGGGTTTCTCTGTGCAGCCCTGGATGTTCTAGAATTCATTCTGTAGATCAGGCTGACCTGGAACTCACAGAGATCTGTCTGCCTCTGCCTCCCAAGTGCTGGGTGGAATTAAATGTGTGTAGCATCACCACCCAGCTTATTTGTATAATTTTAGTTAATGAGTGTGTGACATTTTCATTCATTGATACCATTTTGTGGTTGCTGTGAGTGCTAACCTGGATGCAGCCTGCGCAGTCATGGATTGTTTCTTCAACAATAGAGGGATACATATTCACAAATTAGTATATTTGCCAATATATTTTTTAGTGTTTCGTGTATCTGTATTACTGAGTTCGGTGCAATGGTTACTGTAGAGTTATGATGGTTTGTTAAGCTGATGTAGGCGTGTCCAGATCTGTAATGCGGGAGTGGCAGTGGCTTATTTGCTCTTTACAGGCCAGTTACAATCTGTATTATACAGGCCACACTCTTTACAACTATGCAGATACCCAAAGACCTTAAAGCTTGCAAATATATGGCTGGGCCTGAAGTGGCACTCAGGAGGCAGAGGCAGGTGGATCTCTGTGAGTTTGAGACTAGCTTGGTCTATAAAGCTACACAGAGAAACTGTGTTGTTAAAACCAAACCAAACCAAACAAAAAACTTGCAAATATACTTAGTATATGAGCACGTGAATTTCTTATGTTTTGTTTGTGACAACTTCACGCCAGCTGTTGTTAGCTTTTCCCAAAAGCATTGTATTTAGCCTCCCAGTTGCTTGTCATCTTTTTTTTTACTAGTCTCAGCTAGAATTTACTGTTACCCTCTTTTTCACAGAGATTGTCTGTACTTATCAAAGTTAAAAACATTGTTATTGCTCTTATTGTTTATATAGGTAAGAACCTTTACTTCTCTATTTTGTTCTTACTGTCAGTTTCTCTGTGTATGTGTTTTGTCTTGTACAGAGGTTTTGAAATGAAATAGGCTTGTTTTCATTAGTTATTCTATATGTGGGTAACTTTGTTATGCATTTCTTTTCTTCCTCCCTCCCTCCTCTCTTCCTTTCTTTTTCGAGATTGGGTTTCTGTCTGTCCCACAACTAGTTATGTAGAGCAGGCTGGTCTCAAACGCACAGGGATCCCCCTGCCTCTGCCTCTCGTGTGCTGGGATTAAAGGCATGTTCTACCATGCCCAACTTTGTTATGGATTTCTTTGTCTCCATTTTTTTTTTTAAGTTGAAGAGCATCTTTTAACTTTATTTCTCATGATTGTTTTAGGATAAGATAGACATCTCTAAAATCTTATCTTTTAGGAAGCTGGGAGATAACTCAGTGTTTAAAACCCCACATTGCTCTTTCAGAGGACCCAAGTTCAGTTCCTAGCACCTGTGTTGTGAGGCTCACAGCCTCCTGTAACTCCAGCTCCGGAGATCCACATGCATGCACAAAACCACATCCAGATATATATGCACATACATGACTTGAAAAACAAATCTTTAAAAATAAATAAGATTTCTATGCTTTATGAAAATGTTTTTGTTGTGAAGTCTATGGGTAGTGTTAACAAATGTTGGCAATATAAGATTATGCTGTTTAAATGTGAGTCTACATCATCTGTAGCTGCATGATTGCATTCTTTAACATACTCCCTGCTATGGCCTTTTATTTTAAAAGAGGAATACTTAAAATCATACTTTAGAAATAAATGAATTTTTATTTTGTGTGTATGATTGGTATGTATGTATGTACGTACGTACGTACGTATGTACGTACGTATGTATGTATGTACGTATGTATGTTCACTGTGAGTGTGCCTAGTGCCCAAGGATGCCAGAAAAGGGTTCCAGATTCTCTGGAATTAGAGTTAGACTTCTGAGCCACAAGATGGTTGCTGGGAACCAAACCCCACTCCTCTGCAAGAGCAACCAGTGCTCTTAACCACTGAGCCATCTCCAGCCCCATATTTGAAGGGTTATGTTGGATTGATGTCTGCTTTCCTTATTTAGTTGCCGTTTCTGGTGCCAGTGGATGTGTGCGGTTCTTGCTTATTCTTTAGCATTCAAGAGCACCTACCGCTGCTTTCCAGTGTCACTTTCCACCCTGTTCTACCTCATCTCGTTTGCATCTCCTTGTTATCTCCTCTGAGCCTTTGTTTTCAATTTCTGTCTTTTATTTTTAATTATCTTAAAAGACTTATTTTATATATACGAGTGCTCTATCTGCATGTGTCAGAAGAAGGCATCAGAGCCCACTATAGATGGCTATGAGCCCCTGTGTGGGTGCTGGGAACTGAACTCAGGACCTCTGGAAGAGCAGCCAGTGCTCTTAACCACTAAGCCATCCTTCAAGCTCCTGTTTTCAATTTTTAAAGTCATTTGGTTTTAAGGATGCATCTGAATTTTGACTTTTAAACCTATTATTGCCCAATTTGATAGACTTGCTTTCTTCTGTGGTATTTCCTACAGAGATGTACATGACTGTGCATCTTAAACATCTCCAAACTTACAGATTCTGTCCAGTCACCCTGATGTGATGCTGGTGTGTTTGGGGCAGGTTTATGAGCTGTGGACTTTACTCTGTAATCAAAAGGCACCATAGCTTCCAGCCAGGTTGATTTTTTCCCCCTTTTGAGTCAACTTCCCAGTAAACTTTCATGTTTTCGCTAACTAAGTCCAGGAATTTTACCAGGATATGCCTATGGGGAATAGGTCCAGGCTCCCTGTGAGGGTCAGTGGACTTGCCTAAGGTCTCAGATTAGTATGTAATAGCCTTAGAACACTTCCTTCCCCACATGGTATTCTGGCCTGTGGCTGGTCCCTGACAGGGTGGCTGGGCTGGAAGGTCTCTGCAGTGTCTGTTTCTGCATGATGGGGTTGGTGCCCTGCTCCAGGGGGGGCATGTTCTTAATGTACTCTTTGAAAATTAGTGATCTTAGAGCAAAAGCATATACTTTCCTGTGTTCTCTGATCCTTTTCTGGATCCAGGCATGCCTACAGCGGAAAGGACAGCAAAATATTAAAGGTTACTCTAGTTGTACAACCATGTCATATATATTTAGCCAGTGGGTAAGCTAAAAGTAATGCACCCAAGACCCCCATATCAGTGAGCCCAGGATGTTAGTGCCATTTCCTGGAAGCCTGTCCTGACCACTCTTTTAGAATAAAATGATCCCCTCTTTTGGTACACACGGAACGGATATGTTAGATCTTTTGTGGGTCACATCTGGGACTCCAGAGATGACTGTGTGTCCATGTAGATAAAGGATGCCTGTGGCAGCCATCATTCTCAGACTTTCCCATTGGAAATGCACCTTGGCCTAAAGCCACAGAACACACTGCATCTAGTGATTGGTCACCAGAAACCTCTCTGTCATGAAATATGTTCCATGTTTTCCTAGGATATTTCACTGGCCTCTATCCAGGGTGACCATTCTAAAATTCAAATACAACTTGGTCATCTCCAGGGGCTTGCCATTGTATTCTTTTCTTTTTTTAGTCCATATATTTTTATTTGCAAATGTTAATTGTAATGAGTCATTGGTCTGGTTCAAGGCCTCTGGCTTCTGTTATGCTATCAATAATGGACCCTCACTGGGACTCCTCTTGGATATCCTGGGCTGCCCTGTGTCACAGAGATCCTGTGGCTTTGGATCTGCAGGACTGGCCCCTTCAAATGCTTCAGGGGTTCATTAAGTGGGGTGAATGCTAGGGTGGGCCAACTCACAGCCCTGAATCTGGAGCTGGGTGGTAGCTGAGTTGGTCAGCTCACCAGATCTTCCACATCCTCACCACCAAAAAGAGTCCTCCAGCACTGCCCAGGCTAGCTCACCCAATGCCATAGGCAGCAAGGTTGCCATTTCAAACAGTCTTATATTCTGGAAAACCCAACTGAGATTTTTTCTTTCAAGCCAAGGTTGAAAAACAGAAAGTTGAGTGTTTACCCTCTAACACAATTAGAAACGTGGGCATTGTAAGCATTTGCAGTGTTAGGACATGGGACAACAGGTAACATGAGACTGTGAGAAGACACAAAAGAGGTTAGCCCTGTGACTGCCCCAGGTCACAGCAGGCACATCCTTCCAGGATAATACAAGCGGGCCATGTCAGGAAAACCAGATGACAGCAACAGGAGATGTTTCTACAGACTGCTGTGGAGTGTTGAACAGCCCTCTCAGCTCAGTGTTCATCAGCCATCGTGGGGAAGGACAGGACATAGTGATAGAAATGATAGCTCAGAGCTGGGTGGTGGTGGCGCACGCCTTTAGTCCCAGCACTTGTGGGGCAGAGGCAGGCGGATCTCAGTGAGTTCAGGGTCAGTCTGATCTACAGAATGAGTTCCAGGACTGCCTAGGCTACGTAGAGAAACCCTGTCTTGAAAAAGAAAAAGAAAAAAGAAAAGGAAAAGAAAAAAAGAGAAATAGTGTATCAGAAGAAGAATATATCTGCGTTTGGGAGAGGGAGTCTCATTTAGCCCAGGCTGGCCTTGATGCTATATAAAAGAGGATGACCTTGAATTTCTGATCTTCCTACCCCCACCTCCCGTGTGCTGGGACTATAGGCATGTGATGTCGTACTTGGTTCTATGGAATGGTGCTGGGGACTGGACTTAAGACCTTGTGCATGTTAGGCAAGCACTCTACAAGTTAGCTGAGCCACACTGTGTCCAGTCTAGAAATGTCTAGTTAAATGTACCATTATGCTCGCTAAGGCATGAGGAAGACAGAGAAGATTCAAAGTGACCCAAATTGAACTTCTGGAGATGAAAATACGTGTTTGAAATGAAAAAATATATGAGATTAGCAGCAGATTGAGCATTGCAGAAGAGAGGACTAGCGCCTCAGGGGCTTAGCCACAGAGACTACACAAAATGATCCATGGAGAGAGAAGGCCGGCAAACAAAACTGGTGAGCAGAGGAACTGTATGTGTCATTGGGGTGTCTGAAAGACAGAGGGGAACTAAAAAATTAAAGACATCTTGGCTAAAATGCTGCAAAATTGATATAAACCAGAGACCAAGAATCTTTGCACACCGCACACACAAGTGTAAGAATCAGGAAACAAATGGCATTGAGGCTCCCCACTGGGGCACTGCTCAGAGGGACATCTTTAGAGAATGCCTAGGAATGAGGTGCAGCCAGCTTCAGAGGGCAGCAGCCAGCTTCCAGCCTCCGCGGGCAAGCAGAAGTCCAGCAGCAGGAGGGGCTGCCGGAGACCCGGGAGAAGAAAGACCGGCAGCTGCGATGGCACAAAGGTGAAATAAAGACCCCTTCAGATGTGCAAAGGCCTCGAGAATTCATGTTCCTAATTCAGATCGGTTACAAGCTTCAAGGGAAGGAAAACGACTCCATTCAGAATCCTGGATCCATGCAAAGGAATGAAGACCACTTGCAATGCAGGCAAAGGCTTGTCTTGTTTAGAGGTATTCAAAACAAAACAAAAAACCAAACCCCCAAATCCCAACACATGGAGAACAACGGTGCTGGCGCACGATGTGAGGGCAGCAACTGGAATGCGTCCTTATAGGTCCCTTTAGGCTGGCGAGAGGAGAACATGGCCACGAGTAGTCAGGTGCATGCTCAGGCCAGACTCTGTCACTATGACAATGCAAGGTTGTGGTTGACAAACCAAGAAAGATGGGACAGGAACAAACTCACCCACAGAGGCAGGAGAAAAGAGAGCAGGAAGACAGAACCCTTTAGAAACAAATACCAAAACAATGGTTTGCAAACCCAGCTACATCAGCAGCACCAGTGTTTTCATTTAATTTGACTTAATTTGTATAGCTTGGCTGAGGTATAATTGACAAATAGATTTGCTTGTATTTAAAGTCCATATGATGATTCGATGTACATGTGGATGACAACAGCAATCAATTTAATGCACCCCCAAAACTGTGGTTACTTTCTTTGTGTAGGCAATTTAGCTCAACTCTCTTAGCAAACTTGAAGTGTATGAACCTATTTTTTTTACTATAGTGTAGTAACTTCAAGTGTGTAATGCAGGCCTGTTGACTGCACTCACAATGAATACGTTGCATTAGATCCCAACTGTGGGGGCACGGAGGTCTTTGTGCTCACGTAAGCATTAGGGGAACCCGGAATGTTAAGCACAGAGGGTTGTTCCTTCAAGGGAAGGAATGCAAAACTTATAACCCACCCAGAAGGCTGCAGCGGACTGCTTCCTAGCCTGGTGACCTTTACCTTGTCTCTGTGACTGGAGACTTTTCCGGCACCAGGTCCTCCCACAGACTGTTGTCCTAAATTTGTTTGTTTTTAAGTCAATCTATAGCACCTATCTTTATGGACTTCACAGAGCATTTCCATGAAATCGTGTCTGATCTGTATTCATCTTACTTTGTTCCTCAAGGAGGTTTGTGTGTGCTTTGATGTGTATGAAGGATTGAGTTAGTTATCAGCAGAATAGTTTCATTCTTTTTCTTCCCCCAATATATGTTTTCACCAAATTGTGTGGTGCTTAAATATGCCTAAAATAAATAAATAGAAATATATAAATAAAATAAATGTGCCCCAGGGTCAGCCTCCTCAAGTTTGAACCAGCACTGGCTCCTGAGCTGTGTTGAACCCAAGAGCCTTCTTGCCCTCCCTGGCTTGTCACCCTGCCATCCATGAAGGTCTCAGAGACCCTGACACCCAAAAACTTTATCTTGTACCAAATGTCTATACCTTTGACATGAATGTCCAGTATCATGGTGAACAGAAATGGTGAGTGGATACCCTTGCCTCATTCCTGGTCTCGAGGGATGTCTTTCAGCGTTTCACAGACAGTGTGATTTTAGCTGTGGGTTTGTCGTGGGTGGTCTTTGCTCTGCTGAGGTGAATTTCCTATGACCCGTTTATAAGGCAATGCTGAATTCTGACACAGCACATTTGACCTCAGTTCCGTCCCTCATTCTGCTAGCGCAGTACTCTCTGTTGTGGGGATGTCACGCGTTGACCCTCCTGCCATGTTGGGGCGGCTTGTGCTTGTCATTGAGCACAGCTCCTTTTGTGATGTGTTAAACCCATCTTGTACCGTGGGCATTGGCCTGTGGGGTTCTTTTTCCCGTTGCCTTTCCTGTCTGCCTTTGCCATCAGGAAATGGTTGTAAGATGGGTTTGGGAAATACATGTCTTTGCTCTTCCATGCCTTAGAAAAGCTTGAGAAGGTTCCACATCGATTCTCAAAACTTTCTTCGACAGGTTTCGATTGTTGATCCAATCTCCTTATTATTGTTCTGATTCTTCAGGATTCAATTTTGGCAGGTTTCGAGTTTCTAAGGACGTCTTTCTTTTAGGCAGCAACCTATTGCTATGTGGTCAGTTATAACCATTCCTTACAGCCTTTGCTCTTCTGCAGCATCTGCAACGTAGACTGTAGGCTTTTGGTTTTTTTTTTTTATAAGCTCTCCTTATTTGTGAGTCTAGCTAGAGATCTATCAGTTGCTCAATTGCTCACCCCCTTGAAAAATCAACTGCTAGTTTCATTGATCACTTTATTGTCTGGGAATCTATATAGTAATAATTATCTTTATTATCTACTTTGTTCTATTAACTCGGGCTTGCTTTTTTCCCCATTTGCTTGCAGTTTTCTCTTCCCATAGCAAGGTACCTGCACCTGCGGTTTCAGCTCTCCCCTCCCCCATCCTTGGCCTGTTGTGTCTCTGTTCTCATGTGTCTCTGTGTTCGTACCGTGTGCTCTTGGACCTCTTCTGTGATATCCTGGTTGTTCAAAAGAGCACTGTTTGGTTTACCATGTTCCTTTGATTCTGGTTGAATACAGAGAAGACACTTCCCTGAATCTGAGACCTAATGCTCTACCCTGGAGAGTCTCCATCGTGTTTGAGAAGCATGGGCAGGCTGGCGGCGCGCAGACAGGATGCTCAGTATGCATCCGTTAGGTCCATTGGTCTTGTGTTTTCCAATCTGCTATTTCCCGATTGATTTTCTGTCTAGATGATGTATCATTTTCCCCTCTTTAGGTTATTAAATCCCC